CTCTCTGATCAGTGAAACCCTACAGCCTAGATAAACCCTAAACCCTAAATCCTAAACCGTAAACCCTAAGATAAATGCTACTCCCGACTGTGGGAGAGGTGAGGCTGGGAACTGGGGGCGGAGGGGCTCGGCCTGTAAGCCGTTCCTGATTCATGCGTTTGAAGACGGAAACAAACGCAGATCAAACACCATGACAAAAAGCATAAGGCAACATCCTAAACCCTGAAGCCTACGAACAACCAAATTTGACAGCTTGATTTGTCGGAAGTGTGTGAGTTGCCAGGAAAAGGCGGTGCTCCTGAGCGACGGCAAAGGTCAGTCACTTCCGACCTTTGCGCGAGCTGCCATGGCGCGTGCCCCAGCATTGGTGATTCCTGGGATCTGAAGCCAACAACTTTCCTAAGCCTTCCTTCGGGGGGATAACCTTAAACCCCTAAACCCTAAACCCTAAACCCTTGAACCTTAAACCCCTAAACCCTAAACCCTAAACCCCTAAACCCTAAATGAGCACCGATGCTGACATGGCCGTGATAAAAGGGAGGTGTTCCTGAAGCCCAGACCTTACCGGAAGATGATCCAACACTGCACGGCGCACAAACGTGCACTCTCAGCCTTGTATACAGCTCTGTAGAACCCATAAGAGAGCGCGAGTAAACCCTCAACCTTTCTCTGTGCCTTCTCTCTGTGTTTCTTTCTGCTGCTTCTCTGCCTTTTTTTTGCAGTCTCTATGGTTTCTCTCTGCCTCTGTGTCTCTGCCCCGTCTCTGTTTGTTTCTTGCCTTCCTGCCTGCCTGCATGCCTGCCTGCCTGCCTCCCTGTCTTTCAGTCTCAGTCTCAGTCTCAATCTCTCTTCCCTCGCTCTGTCTCGTGTCTTTCTCTCTCTGTCTGTCGCTGTCTCTGTTTTGTTTTTGTCTCTCTCTCTCCCTCGCTCCCTCTCCCTCGTTCTCTCTTTGCATACATATCTGTATATATCTCCTGCCAACTGATATATAACGAAAAGCCTGACAGAAATACCAGAGAATCCGAAAATGTACACATGCACATGGCACCCTAAACCCTAAACCCTCAACCTGTGGAATCCCGCAGGTGGAGGGGTGGTTCATGCGGCGGCTGATCGGCCGGCAGAAGTTCGAGCAAGGCCAGACACCCCAATGTAGGAACCTGATGAAGAAAACCCTGGCCCTGTCAGCCCAAACTGTTCCGATCCATATCAAGAACCCTAATACTAAAGGGCCATGGTGTCTTAAGCAGGTTCCTTTGTTTGATAGGGCTGATCCACTTATTGATGTTTCTCAGACATATGTGACATACACCTTCAAGAGCGACTGGGGGGCTCGTTGCGGCCCTGCGGGAGCGATGTCTGTTGTCTTAAGTTCTGCGAATTGGGTAATATAGGGGCCTCATAATTACCTATACTATTTTGGGGGGCTCCTTATCATAAGTATAGTATGATGTAGCCCGAAACCATATTCAAATTATTAAGGCCCCTATATACACCCTTCCCGGATGGGACTGGGCAAGGACGCCTGGGCGAATCTGCCAATAAGGGTGTGGTCGTGGCCAACTGGGTTGATGCTCATAGAGGCCTGAAGGAGTGATGATAAAGACGACAAGCCTGTCGTCGCCGTTACTGACATTAGGTCGCCTGATGGGGCAAATCTTCTAGAAATTCGAAGGTAAATATCCATTTCAGATAGCATCGTTTCCAAATTCACAAGAGATGTCTTTTCAATCGACCTGCTGCAGATATTGCAGAGATGACCGAAGCAAAATCCTTGGCTGACGCCTTTGGGGAGTTCTGGGACGGGGTGCTGGGAAATACCTGGGACCTCTGGGAGCCTGAAATGCCCACCAGGATTTAGGGTTTAGGGTTTTGGGTTTTGGGTTTAGGGTTTAGGGTTTAGGGTTTAGGGTTCAGGGCATGAGATCTCACGAGCATGAAGTGGCACCTGAGAGGCGGTTTGGACTGAGAGGCGGTTTGGACATGGGCGGTTTGGAGTCTTGGGTTCAGGATTTCAGATTTGTCCATCTACGCGGCCAAGGTAGTGAAAACGAAAGCACTCCAGGAGTGAGGGCAGGTGTTCCCATTTGGGGAGGTCCAGCTTCTCAAACGCATAGACGGGAGGTCTAGTATCGGGGCCTTAATAATTAGAATAGGGTTTTGGGATATATTTATACTACAATAATTGTAATAAGGAGCCCCAAAATAGTATAGGTAATTCTTTAGGCCCCCATATCACAGCAATCTCAAGATCATTAAGGTTGCTATAGCGGCGGCCTTCAGAATAGTGACTTAAGTGGCTATATGAGAGTATACCGAGACAGGGGCTACAAGCGGAAGCTCTGATTAAGCATGACAGAAACCATGGAAATCAGACAATCAAATCCCTATAACATGCTGACAGAACCATCATACAGAATTTGTGCATGGATACTTGCGTAATCTTCTGCCAGGTGAGACTTCCAAGACTTCGCCCCCGATCCTGAGCCGACTGTACCAGGCCGTGGAGGGAAAAGTAAGGTTTCGGGCTCAGGGCTGTAGACAACCTCTCTTTTTGGTATTGGGCCTAGGTCTCATGGTTTTTGTTTGAGGGTCTCGGGTTCAGAGCGTTTAGGCTTTTTGGGGGGTTCAGCGGTGTGGCTTGTGGGATTTCGGATTGAAGGTTTATGTTTTGCTGAGAGTTGCCAGGATTGCTAGGGTTGCGGTTTGGGGTGAAGGGCCTGCCGAAGTTCAGGATTTGGGGCTCAAGTAATCAAGTCACAGGGCCTCGGCTTGGTGTGTTAGATGTTCGGGGCTAAGGCAGTAGTCCGTTCTGTGTCGTAGTGACCCGGAAGCTTGCTTTGAGTTGTTCGATCTTGCGGGTCGCAAGTCGCAAGCTGTAAACCCTAGCCCGAGACCCTCAAGCCCAGACCCTAAAGCTGAACCACCTTCATGCACAAGCTTCTCAGAGTTCTGCAAGTGTCCCAAAGTGACCCAACCCTGGTGTCGAAGGTGATCTCAGATGGAACACTGTGGTCGTCCACGGCTGCAAAGAGCGAACCTTGCCCTCAGAGCTCGAGGGTTTAGTTTAGATATTCTCCGTACGCTTCGGATGAGGAGGGTTTAGGGTTTAGGGGTTTGGTTTGGGGTTTAGGGTTTAGGGTAGAATCTGGAGGGCTATCCAGATCCACAGCCGCCCTTGAAAGTTGCTAAGCTCAGAGCAACCCACCTGAGGACCCCTAGCCACAGATCTTCGTCTTGAAGTTTGGGATGACCGTGCTTGCTGTTTACATGGGTAGCGATCGATGCCTTGAATCTGGCTGTAACCCTAAACCCTAAACCCTAAACCCACCATTGTGCTGCTGATGGCCGCTCCGAATTCCTTCGCATGAGCTCTCACTTCCTGGCTTGTTGAATCCTGTCGCTCTCTCTTCTTGACGGTGTTTTGTTGTCGGTTGCCTTCTTATCGAAGTTGTCCCCGTTTCATTACAATCACCCAAACTCTAAACCCCCAAACCCTCAACCCTAAACCCTAAACCCCTGGAGCCCTAAACCCCTGGAGCCCTAAACCCCCTGAAGCCCTGAAACCCCTAAACCCTAAGCCCTAAACCCCTAAGCCCTCAAAGCCGAGCTCATCCCTTTGCCTTGCCGAGTCGGAGATTCCCTTCCCCTTCCCCTACCAGAACTTCGTGGAGGCCGGCTCGTCATATGGGTAGTTGTCTAAATCAGGGTCCCTTTTAGGGTCCTTTTTATAAGGGTGCCGTGTTATATTGGGGACCTAAAAAGGGACCCTAATTTAGAGAACTAGCCATAAGTTGCTTGAAAGGTTGAGGGGATCAGGGCTTAGGCTTAAGGGTTTAGGGAATCCGGGGCTAGGGCTTTACGGGATTTGGATTTGGATTCAGGTTTTAGGGTTTAGGGTTTAGGGTCTAGCGTTCTTAAGTTTAGGCCTGTTGCTCCGACCCGTGCGGCTGACCACCGGTCCAGCCTTTAGCGCTAGACCCTCAGACCTGGGAGCTAGGATTAGGGGGACCCTTGGGGATATAGATTTTGTCAATAAGGTCCCTTGTAAGGGAGCCAAAAGTAGGGTTCAGAAGGGGTACCCTTTAAGGGGTACCCCTAATAATACTACCTAAGACCTCAACCCAAACGCTGAGAGGTGACAAAGAAGCAAGCAATCCCACTGACCCATCAGGCTAAACCCTGCCTGCACCCTGAACCCCTAAACCCCTAAACCCCTAAACCCCTCAACCCCTAAACCCCTCAACCCCTAAGCCTAAACCCCAAAATCAGAGAACCCAGAGTCGAAGTTTGTCCCGTGAGTCCGTCTTAGGCCCGTCGAAGGTTGGAACTCGGGGTCTTCTGAGGTATTGGTGCGGTTGGCGCTTATGGGCTTTGAGGATCTGGGGGTTTAGGGTTGAGGCTTAGGGCTTGAGGGATTGGGTTTAGGGTTTAGGGTTGAGGGCTTGGGGGATTGGGTTTTTTTGGGTTCAGGGTTTGGGGGGTTTGCTGCTAGGTGCACTTCCCCAACTGCGATTTGAGCTGCAGAGCCCTGTGCGGGATGCTTGATGCTGGGGCTCAAGCTGGCCAGTCGGTTTTCGACTGCCGGCACAGGTTCAGACACAGGATAGTTTTCTGCTTTCCGGGGTTCGCTGCAATGGCCTCGGTTTGGAAGCACGTAGCTTCTGCTGCAAGTGCGCTGTGCGACAATAAGCTATACACGTCGAGCACAGAGACTATGCTCCAAGAACAAGTGCTCCAGCAGCAGTCCGCTCTCGAAGAGCTGCGGAACTTGCTGAACCATGAACAAACGATCTCACAGGAGCTGCGAGCGCAGCTGAAAGACGAGAGAAGGAGAGCTCAGCTGAGCAGCCCAGAGCAGCGGAAGGCGCGGCACACTGAGGCGGCCCTCTTGGAAGCTCTCCTTGCAGACAGGATCAGGCTGGCCGACCAGCTGCAGGAGATGAACTGCAAATTCCAAGCACAAGGCTCAGAGCTGCAGGAGATGAAGCGCAAATTCCAAACGCAAGGCTCGGAGCTGCAGAAGGCCCACGCTGAGCTGGAAAAGGTCAAGGCAGAGCTCCATGAAAAGCACCTTTTGAACGCATCTCGCGACTCCGAGAAGGAGCTGCTAGGTGCTCTCATGGAGCGTGTATCTCACCTGGTGATGGCTGGCGAGGCTGAGAGTGAAAGAAGCGACCAGAAGCTCCCCCAGGAGTTGGATGTGGTGCAGGCGCAGAAGCCCGTGAAGGAGTGGCAATCTGCGAAGACAGAGTTGCCGATTCAGATTGCAGCTCGTGAGGCTGCAGAGCTCCGACAGGAGCTGGAGGATTTGCAGCACAAACTGGAGCATGAGGAAGCTGTGAATAAGCTGCAACATGCATCATTTATCAGACTGTACAATCGCCATACAGCCTTTGAGGCTGAGGTCAGACATTTCTTGCAAAAGCTAGGACAGAGGCATCCTGACCTGGCATCTGATTTCGCATCTGCATGTAGAGATGCGCATGCGAGCTGACAGCCTCTGAAAGTTAATGGAGCTTCACTGGCATCCGCTGATGCGCTGTAGTTTTGTTCTGTAGGCAAGAAGCTTCAATAGCCGTTCTTGCCGACGATCGCCGTCAACATCCTTCAACATCCTTTCACAGTTCATATTCGTGTTGCAATGTTCAATCACTTCGTCTCACCAAGCGTGTTCTTCGCGTAAACGCCAGCACGCTCTCTGCCATTGCCGGCCGCAGAAACCATTGTATTTTCAGCCGACTGCTAGTTTTGAATACTTGATTTGGTCGCACAGTTCCCAGGAATGCTACTAATATAAGGGCCTTAATTATTACCCATACTATTTTGGGGGCTCCTTATTATAATTTTTGGTTTTTGTACCTTAAAACCAGGCGCCTACATTAGTTAAGATAACACCCGAGCCTGATCAGGTGATGGTCTGGCTCTTTACCTTCCTGGCGCCCATCGTCATCAATGGGATCATCTTCGAGCAGCTGCTCAGGAAGGGATTGCCGTTAGTTTGACTTGTTGTTTGTGGGTTGTGGTCTGTGAGTTTCTGTTTTCAAGAAGGGTGTGGCTTAAGGCTTCAGATTTTGCAAGATTTGGGTCCAGAGATACGTTTCGTGGTGGCTCCAGTGTCGACATCTAGGATGTGGTGAGATCGGATTGGACTTCGTGCGAAAGCCTCGAAGTCGAAGATCAATGGCCTCAAACCCGAAGCTCAAAGCCTCGCCACCTCTAACTATCTTCGCCGCCCGGGAGGACCGTCGCCAGCTTTACTGTGGTCTTGTGCTTCCACACGCTGAAGAACACCAGCGACGTCATGGAGGTCGGCGGCAGAGTTGACGATCAATGTTTTCAGCCCCTATTTAAGAACTGAGTTCAATTTGAAGTCGTGGCTGCCGCATGACTGCTCATCCTTGTGCCAGGATCCGTACCTTCCTTATGATCCAAACGCACCTCGGAGAGGGTTTGAACTAGCATGAAAGCCAGACTATCTGACGATCTGGTTGATGGCCCTGCATGACCGCAAGCTTGGAGGCTCATGGTTAGACCAACTCGATCGGTTCTGGAATTTTCTCGGAGTTGCAAGTGCTGTTGGTTCTGTCGGACAGGCTGCTGATACACACAACATTCAAAGATACACGGGTGCGACGTGATAGTACTCCTTCTTCGAAGGCCGTGAGTGAGTGAGTGAGTGAGTGATCGTCACAGCTCCAGGATGAAAGCAACTGCACTGTGAATAGCAGCCGTCATGCTTGAAGTCGGCGTGCCCACCACAATCAGGGTATACGTATTGTTACTGATGGATGGGGTCGTGGTCGTCGCGCTGCCAAGAAGAACAACAGTAGCCAGTGCATCGGTTGGCCGGTAAGTAGCGCTCATGGAAAGTTGACGAGCGGTGACAGTCAGTGACAGTTACCAGTGGCGGTGATAGCAGTACTGCCATCAAACATTCAGTCGGAAGAAGGGCAACAAATGCTTGGAACCCGTTTGCAGCCCTTCTAGAGCCTTCTTTCAGTACGCTAGAACCCTTGCAGCACAGAGCCTAGAGCCCTTTTCGAACCTTCACCTACAGGAACCTTTAAAAGAACCCTAGGCCCTTAAAAGGGAGCCGCAAAGGAAGAAAGGAAGCCACCCTAAAACCCTATTCCAGCTATTATTAAGGCCGTTATTGTATATTAAGGTACCCCCAAACCCTATTCTGGTTATTCTTAAGGCCCTTATTCTATTCATACCAAAACCTTAATAAGGTACCCCCCAAAACCCTATCTTAGCAATCAAGGCCCCCTTTTTTTGCTCGGACAGCCCGAGGATCTTCCCCTGGTTTCCTGGCAGCGCTCCGTGAACGCCCGGCTCTTGTCCTTCGGGGAAGTGCCGACGGAGGAGGCTGAGCCCATACAGGAAGGCCTGGCTTGGGGGTGTAGGCTGTAGGGTTTAGGCGTGTGTGGCGTGTGCGCGTGTATAACTATATATATATATATATAGTATAATAGTACACATATTCACATACATATACATAGACCTATACACACGTACATACAGGGTTCGCTTCGGGTCTTCGTGGGGTTTCGAGCATCAGGCTTCGGAAGATTCCTTCACACACGAAAGATTGCGAGCATCAAAACCTAGCGTGCTTACTAACTCCCGTCCCACACCTCTGCTTGCACCCTCCGGGGCACTGATGAGCATGTTCATAGGCTTCATAGGTGCCTTGACAGTGTTCGAGCATGTTCTAACTGGAGTCTCTGTTTCGGTGTCCTGCTGGTACATTCTCATGAACTGGGTAGGTTTCTTTTCGTCATCAACAGAAGGTCCCGCTGACGATGTTCCGGTTTTATGCGGCCTGCGCAAAATGTTGTATGCGTCGTGGGCTAATTCGAAGTAGTATCCCAGTGATTTACGTCTACTGCTCTGTTGTTACTGTAGGCTTGCTCAGTGCTTCTTCAGGTACCGTCAGCTCTGTTGCAGAATCATCGCTCCCAGCCCGGAGAATCGGAACCAATGGATCCTAGGGCTGTGGAACAAGGATGTGCTTGCCGTGAAACATCTCGTCCTAACGCAGAGTCGTTTTCCTGCTGACCAAGTGATGAGAAAGCCTACCGAGCCCATGAGCTTTCAGTCATATCTATCTTCCTCTCCCGCTACTCGTTCTCTCTTCCTTGCTCAGTTTTTTCCGATTTCCTTGACTTGCCAGTTGTTCTGGATGGGAGCGAGAAGCTCGCGAGCCTGAGCTTGGAGGCCTTTCGGGAGCTGGGCGAAGGGGGTGTTGACTTTAGATTCTTTAGATGCAGGGCAGAACAGCGAAGCTGCGGAATGATGCGTTATCTGTGGATTGGATAATTACAGAAATCAGGGAGCAGAAATGTGCTATTTGCCCGTACCGGAACCTTATTGCATTAGTGGTAGTCCTGTTCCTGCAGTGGCTGGCCCCCAAAATCATTAAACTGTATAAAGCCCTAGAGCCAGTGAAGCCAGCTTCGCTACTTACAGCCGGAGTCGAGTTCTTTCTCTGTGCTCTTCTGTGGACAGGGAGTGAAGGTCTCCGTGACGGCTCAGCCGAAGGTGCAGCAGCAAGAGCAAGTGCCTGAGGCGCCTTCGGGCATTTCTGACCGGGGTGAGGCTGCAAACTCTGCATGCCTGATGCCGGAAATAGCAGCTCTTGGTAGGGACGCAGAAGCAGGGCCTCCTAAGCCAGCAGCAGTTAGGCATCAAGTTTCGAAGGGGGGTCAGCATGTATGAAGGCCCCTGCATCACTTTGCATACGACCAACCCTAAACCTTAAACCCTAAACCCTAAGCTGTGTTTTTCTTTTCAGCGCTGCCCTTCGAGCCCGCAACTTTGAGCTCAGGCACGCGAGCAACCCGAACTCCGAATCATGAACCTTTCAAGCCCTTCATCAGAATGAGAAAAATTTAGCGTTTAGGGTTTAGGGTTAGTAATAGTTGAAAACACAGTAGTAGTAATAATCGCAAGAATGAGTGGAGTGAAATGATAGTCGTAATTTCAAGTAGTAGCAGGGATCACAATATCGAGAACAACTATAGCATAGAAACAACCATGACGACAAGAACACAAATTACAATAAAGACTTTCATTAGCAAGAACAGTAGCACCATTATTCATACTGATAATAGTAATAGATATGAGTAACAGCAATAACAGCAATAATAAGACTAGTCAGAACGGTCAGAATACTAAGAAAAATCAGAATGACAGAACAGGAGGGTGATACGAAAAACAGGAGAATGAGAATCATGAGATAAGAGTACTAAGGACTATAAGAACAATAGGGATAGTTTAGTAGTAGTACTAAGAATAATCATGAAAAGATACAACAAGAAGCATAACAATGTTAACAATCATAATCACATGTCATAGCAATCATAATCGTCATAGTAGAGATCATGATAGTACTATCAGTAAGAATCACAATAGCAGTAGTTAGCAGGAAGCAAAAGAATCATAACCACAATACCAAGAGAAACCCTTATAAACATCATAACAATGATAGTAGCAATATGAGCAGGTGCCGGTGAAGGTGCCGCACGCTCGGCAGGCCGTCAAGGGAGAGTTTGGAAATTTTGGCCAGCAGTTTACGGTTTAGAGTTTTGCATAGGGGTTTAGGGTTTTCGGGCTTAGGGATGATGAGGGTTAGGGTTTAGGGTTTAGGGTTTAGGGTTTAGAGTCTTCTGAGTGGTCATTCGCCTGGATCGGGACAGTAGGTCTGCGCCACAGAGACCCTCTGACAAGATTTCGGGAACCCCCTTTGCAGTGTTTTCACTTCTAGCCCCTAGGAATTCTTGTCGTGAGCTATCCCGGAAGGCAACTGAGAATACCTCTTTAAACCCATGTAACTTTAGCACCCAAATTGCCGTCAACAAAGGGGTGTTCCAAGAAACCTGGTCTCTGCGACTGTTGCAGTTTCTGTAGGGTCCAGTCACCAAAAACCACTTAAACCAGCTACAAAAGCAACTTGCTTCCGAAGCACAGAGCGCAGAATCCTGCATTTAAGCCTAAGCGCATCCAAACATAAACCCGGAACCCGCACACCACTCAACCCCAAACTCATCTTTCCGCAAACTCCCCTTCACTGAATTGCCCAAAGTCCTGAAGCTTTATATACCTTGAACCCTGATCCCTGAGCCCTCAACCTCACTGAACCCTACCAGAACGCCCCTTCTCAGCCAAAGCCCAGAGCCCTCAGAACCCTGACAGGGCTTAGGGTTTGATTTGGAGTTTAGGGCCTAGGCTGGTTTAGGGAGTTGCTTCTAAACTGTGGCTTTTGTTACTGGTGTCCGTGATATTCATATGTTGGGCCTCTCTTCTGGAACCCTTGAACCCTCCACCCCGAAAGCCCAAGTTCTAAATCCTCATTCTAGTCGCTAGCCTTATATGGAACCCTCATACCCTTAAACCCAAAACCCCAAACCCCAAAACCCCAAACCCAAAGCCCCAAACCCCTAAACCCCAAAGCCCTAAACCCCTAAACCCTAAAGCCCTAAACACGAAACCCCAAACCCTCCGTATCCCTCAGCCCACAGATTTGAAGCCATGGGCCAGGCCCCCGTGGGAGCCAGTTGCATGGATTGCCTCCCGGTCTCCTGTCTGCAGTGAATGTAGGGGCCGAAATAATTACCAATACTATTTTGGGGGCTCCTTGTTAGAATTATAGTATAATGGGGCCAAAACCCTGCTTTAATTTTTAAGGTCCCTATATTAGGCTTCTATGATTTTGGGTTTAGGGTTTAGGAATTTTGATTCTAGCTGTGCTATAAGGGTTGTGCACGGGTCCTATTGGGGTTTAGGGTTTTCGGGTCTCGGGTTGTAAGGTTTCTTGGATTCAGGGGTCTCCTGGCAGTAGCCTATAGCTTCTTGCTCTAGCACCTCTGCCTCAGAAGTTGCCCTGCGCGTTTTGGCAGATGTGGACTCCAAGGTCACCTTCGGGATTGGGCACCTGCACTCCACTCACCGCTCCCGCTCCCGTTTCCCATAGTGGCAAGAAAGCACAAGGAAGCAGCCTGTGCTGGCATTGGCATGATCACACGTGTGTTCACAGTGAGAGGGTAGATTGAGATGCTCTGTGGAGGAAGTTGAAAGCAGGAACACAGATCGTTGGGCATCCTTGCACTGGCAAAGCCAAGCAAGAGCTCCAAGCAAGCGACGTGTACCTTTGCACAAAAAGGGTCCGGGTGCCTGGATCCGTCAGTTTTGTGGTTGGACTGCCAGCTTCTCTTCTGACCCCCACCAGCATCTTTTCTGACTTTCTGTTTGGAGGTGGTGGTGATGACGTCCCGGGACGCCGACTGTGCTGCAGAGGCCGATGGTGGGTAGGTGTCCCATACCCCCTAGAACCCTAAACACCGACCCCAACCTCTGAACCGCTTCAGGTTGAGAAAGTTGGTGGCCGCTTGGAAGCATATTGAATTCACACAGCAGCAGGGCGATTCAGTGC